GCAAACTGGTATTTGGTTCTGGTAATCATAAACACACTGGTTTGTAGAGCAAATTGTACAGTGCAGCTTAAAGGGCAATTTACTCAGGTCATTCTGTGTCAGATCAACCAAATTTTAAAAACTTCCCAAGCTAAAATTTTGTTAATATTTTTTCTGAAGAAAGACAAACATAAAGTGTAATGAAAGTCAAAATATTAAAAGTCATGGAAGAATATTTACTGAGTAATACACTATTTTATCTAACTTGAAGTTTTATTTCCAAAGTTTGAATGTCTGTAACTTCAGAAGTATTAAAGCTATCTTGATATCCTTTCAAATTTTGGTTCTTAACAATCATTTCTTTGGGTATCTTCATTTTTAAAGGCCCAAATGGTTCAGTTCAAGAGATATTGGGATCTCAATGTAGCTCCATGAGTAAATTGTTCAATTGTTCACATTTTAAGTGGTCAGTTCATCCACTGCTTTCTTCTTCATTTACATAATTCTTCATTTATGTATTTAGCCAGGAACCTCTGGTTGAGTTGACATGGAATGGAAATTCAAGAATCCCATACAGTTTTTAAAGGAAGATGTACAACATTGGTTCTCATGTGTCTTTTAACCAAACTCAACATGACAATTTTGAATATTCACAAGTGTGAATGAGATCTGAGAGCTACAGTGTAAAATAGGATTTTCATTTTTGGGTGAACTATTCCTTATGATTTTTTTTTACACACATTAGAACTGAAATACAGAGATAACTTAAAGAGATTCACTATAAACGGTTGCATGATTGCCTGAAATTGAAATATCAACTCAAACCATCTGATGTACTGTACTTACTGAGACACAAGTCAAAATCAAAAGCATTCATGTACTCATAGCATGGACTGCAACTATGCCATAGATGCTATCTGCTGCCCCAGTGCCCAAGCTCTGCCAGCCTGCCTGATCTAGAGGCTGAGACACAGACTGATAACCATCTGATAACTCCTCCAGCTCTCTGTGTCAGAGCCAGCAAGGCAGATAATGTGCTCCTCCACACAGAAAACACTTTATCAGGCTCAATGTTTCCCTGATCCCACGGCTCTTCACATCTCAAGGGCCCCTCAGCGCATGGTGGGCAACCAAAGAGTTACAGTAGCATATAACCACCGGCCACTCTGTGATGCTCTATCAAAGGAAATGACTTACCTTGTTTTGAAATCGGTCACTTAGGAGGTGATTCGTGCAGTTCGAAGAGTGGTTGTTGCTGCACAAACTTGACATCGTTCTACAATAGCGGCCAAATCTCGTGACAGCAGCGCGTCCACGGGATTCTGCGTCTTGATAAATATATAAATTATTTTTTAAAATATATAAATATGATACCTTATAGTTTGGTTACAAGAGGAAAAAAGAAAACTCCCTAATGTGAGGCCAGTGAAAACAGAATATTTAAAATACCATTCCAAAGTGTAAGTTTCTTTTAAAGAAATCAATAGTTTTTTTTCTTCAGCAAGGATAGGCCTACATTAAATTGACCAAAAAAAATCTATTTCAAATAAATGCTGTTCTTTTGAACTTTCTATTCATCAATGAATCCTGAAAAAAGTATGACGTTTCGACAAAAATAAAAAGCACAACTGTTTCAACATTTCTAATAATGAAAAATGTTTCTTGAACACATTAAAATGATTTTTGAAGGATCTTGTGTCCATAAGAGACTACTTTTATAAATATTAAAAATCCAAACTTTTGAACATTAATGTAATGGCATAATAAAATATAAAGTTGCATAATATTATAATAAATATTATTTGATGGTATTGTTATGTGATTTACTTAACTCAAAACATTGTACACAACTGTCATAATTGTACTGTAATTCATTATATGTTTCTTTAATCAAAGATCTCAGTGATTATTTTACTGACTGCACTTTTAAATCATTAAATCATATAAAAATAAATGTGAATAAAACATAAATAATGTGAATAAAAATGAAATGTGTACCCTACTTAATGTTTATTCTGTTACAAGAAATTCCCACTGAAGCATTTCTTCGGATCAGTAATTGTCTCACCATTTTTACCAGAAAATGTATTAAAACAAACATTCAAAACAGACAGTTTAAATTCAATAAAAATGCTATTCAAGTTAGTTTCATTCTCACACAAAACGCCGCCACCCACATACACTGCTGTTTTTTCACACTTGTCTTAAATGGCTTGCTGAATGCATGACACAATAGCTGAAATGAGGTCAGCGTGTTTATGTCTGCGTCCAGACTGATGGCTGTCTAGCTGACACGTGAGAGACATCAGAGCGGCGGGAGCCTTTAATCAGACCAGCGAACCGCTCATCAGCTCACACAGAACAGCATTCCCCATGAGATCAGACCATGAGCTTACTCTCCAATTTACCGCAGTAGCACCAGAGACTCTGGGGTCAAACCTTTCAGAGACCGAAACACACACACACACACGAACAGTGACAGCCCTGTAATCATATCCATCGAATGAGTCAATCATGTGTAAATAGTGAAAAGTATAAGCAATGCACTTGGACTTTCGAGTGTGAATCCAGTGCAATAATTCTGTTTACGCTATAACTGATGTTTGCACAAGACCAGCATGTATCATTAACGTTTTAATCTTTATAAGTGTAACAAACACATGCACATATCAAATAACACCATCATTCAGATGAAGGGATAAAGAATGTCATGGCATTTTCCAACACGCTCTCCAGCGCTTTAATGTGAGTCAGTATCCTATTAGGCCTTGATGTGGGCTGTAAGAGGTTTGCAGTCCTTCACCTGCTGCTATTGAAGACAACTTTTATCTAACGCAGTTCATCACATGGCCTTTGTCAGAAGCCTGCAAACTGCACGAAAACTGAAAGACCACAGAGCTAGGACGGAGAATATGTGAATAGATTTGAACTGTGATTTCAAATCTAAGGAAATAGAGACAATAGCGACTGACATTGTGATCTTTAAGGTGCAAAGATGTATCGGTGCAAAGATAGAAAAATGCTGCGACTTAATCATTGGTTCACTCTCAAAAATAAAGGTTGTTAATTGGCATCTGTGATCCCATGAAGAACCTTTAACATCCATAGAACCTGCAGGTTCTTTATAGTGGAAGGCGTTTCTTCAGATTATTAAATTGTTCTTCACACCAAGAAAAAAAAATGGTTCTTTTTTATAGTACGATTTTTTTATAGTGGGAAGAGCATTTTAATATTTTTTTACAGAAACTTTTGCCACTATAAAGAACCTTTTGTGCAACAAAAAGATTTGATGGATGTACAATGATTTTCATGGACCCATCAATGCCCATAAAGAATTTTAATTTTTAAGAATGTATATGAAGGGACAAATATGACTCCAGCCAGCTAAAAATCCAAAACAAATAGTAAAACCAGGGGGATTTCACTGTCAGTTTGCTAAAAGAGACCAGAAATGAAAGAGACTTTCTGTTCTTTCTTTTATCCAAATAGAGTCATTTTATCCATCACCATTAGCATTAGCCGTCATGTTGCAGATCAAGTGGGATTGAGAAACAATCACGTAGGCAAAATATGTCAACATGGGATTGTGGAAAGACAATGAAGTTGAACATTTTTGTGTGGGGAGTATTACCAGAAATCTTTGCTTTACAATGTTTATGAAATCTCTCAAATAAGAGATGCATGATGTTTCCAAGCCACGACATTCCCACTGAATCTTTGGGATGGTAAATGTCCCTTTGTACCCTCACTGACTCTCCACGTGTACGGGCAGGTCAGGAGGTAATTCATCCGCCTTTAGAGGGGATTACTGGGTGCTTCAAGTTAAACGCTTGAGATAAACACACTTCTCTGCTGCTCCTCTCTGATCTCTCTGTTGCAGAATGTGTTACAGTGCACTAGGGAGGTATTTTCCAGCATACTGTGAACTCACTCATTAGCACAGTGGGACTTCTCTGCTTGAATCCCTGTGCAGACCGAATGTAAACACATTGATACCAACAATCAAAGCTTTGATATTAAAGTGCCATCCAAGAACACGAGTGCAAATTGAAATGTAAATACTGCTTTTTTTTAGTTCACAGCTGAACAACGTAAATTGTGTGGTTATGACATTATTTAATTGCGGAGTTATAAAATCAGGTATGCAAATCTGCTATTTTGTTTTTCACAAAGCATGCTGATGCAAATAATCCCTCCCATATTATTTCCTTAATAATGTTATCAATTTCCCTTTTTTCAGTCAGGTATCAATGCTTAAACAAATTCATATCTGATATATGAAATGTAAACACTTATTACCCTGAGGTATGAAAATGACAATCTGTGACTCAACCGATATACTTCTATCACACTTGTTTTATAATGATTATGGGGCACAGACTTAAAAGAAAATATCTCTTTCACTAGATTTATCTATTCTGTGCTATGTCAAAAATTGTCATCACAGTAAAATCGCTGTCAACTTTTCAATGCAGTTTTCTCAAGCATGAACCGACATTAGACAGACGTAAATAGACAACTAAAGAGCTAAAAACGGTTTTAATGTGTTATGGTGGTTAAGAATAAAAAAAAATTTAAACCAAATACACTAGCCATGCAATTTTTAGTGTAGCAAGACACTATAGTTGTGTGTATAGTAGAAGTTATTTTTATTCTCTATAAATGTCGGCCGTGAATTTAGCTCAAACACAGTATCTTACATGTTTAACTTTTTCTTTGCATTGCAACACTGGAGATGCCTAAACAAAAGAAAAATATATATAAATAATTCTACATATAGCAATATATCAGTGTGCTTAATTCATTCAAACAATAGAGACTCAGATCAATACTGATCCATTAAATGCAGCACCAACAATTTTAGGATTATTTACGGAGTTGAAAATATTCTATAACAGCATGGAATCTCTTGGAAAGAAAAGAAAAAAACACCACCGTAAACACAGTTACTCCATCTAGTGGCAAACCATTTCAATCTTTAACTGACCTTTATACAGCCTACAGAACCAGACAAATACAAATCAGTATTAAACTATATTTATTATATACAGTAGTAAATGGCCAACACAGGATCTTCTGCTCTCCCAAACACCCCTGCCATTCCCATTACAACACTCACACATGTTGATTTGGCATGAGTTCAATGTGGATTTGCAGTTACACCAGGAGTGTTTAATACTCTTGATATGCCAGAAAGGCTAAATGAGAGTGACGTTACAATAATCACATTTGTAGAAAGGGCAAACTATGAGACGATAAAATCAAAGGGAACACTTAATTTGTATCTCATGAAATTCATACTTAAGCAAACAGAAACTTTTAAAAACATATGCATCAAAGCTTTTAAAATTAAAAATGGCTAACTGTATTCAACAAACAATCTAGCTTTATCAAACCTTGAGGAGTCAGAAAAATACAATGCTGCAATGTCAACATTTGAAACGGTTCATAAAAAGGGTGTCTTGAAGTTTAGTTTACTGCCATTAAAGAAAATCTGAGACCATACTAAGAAACCACAAACATCCTTTTCCTCCTTGTATATAAAAATAGATGGGGGAGGTACAAACATACATAATACAATAGGCATACAATAAACTCCAAAGGGGGGAGGGGGGTGTCAACATTACTAACTGTCATTTCCAGTTTAGTTCAGCGAGAACATTGCAAAAATTCAAATGAGGTCTTTGGATGATTAAAAATGGAACAAAAAAATAAAATAAATGAACAAACATTAGATTTCCAAAACTTTTTCAATTTCAGCCCCGAACTGCAGCGGAAGTGAAGATGAGCACAAATAAACCAGCTTCATTCACATGTGCTTCACCTTTAGCAGGCTCCTCCCGTCTGCTGCTGGAATACGTCGATAGTGTCTTCATCTTCCATTTCCAGCTGAAAATTCACACGAAAAGATTAATTGAGAAACTTTTTCCATCCGAGGCCTTATAACAATTTGTGTGTGCCAAGCTCCAGGTTTGCAAATACACTATGATAAATGCAATTTCCTTGAATTTGTTCGTATGGATAGCTTAATTTTTTTGACAGACTGCATCATTAAAGAGATCTGGAGCTGATTAAATATTAGAGCCCGACCGATATGGGTTTTTTGGGGGCCGATGCCGATACTAGGGAGTTAAAAAAAAAAAAAAAGACCGATATCGATATATCGGCCGATATTCTTTGTGTAGGCTATATTATAGTACAGTATAGTCAAATTCTTCGATTAATCGGATTAAAAACAAACAATTTCCTTTTTTTATTTTATTGACAAAAACACTATTCCACATTCTGCCCAATGTCCTTAAAACAAACGTGCCAACTGAATGCTATGAAAACATACAGTGCTTAACAATTTATTAGACCACCTGCCATAATAAAGAGAA